GAGCCATGCTCGGTAAGCAGACAGGCTGGCAGAGATCATCTAGTACCAGCTAGTTCTAGAAAAAGAGCACAAACTTGTAGGGGAAAATTGAATATATGCAGTCTAATGACCTCACACCATCTTTCTTCCCTCAAAGTAATGTGATTGGGAAGCATTCATGACATTCTTGTCCCTGACTGGAAGATAGAAATGTGTAAAGTCCAGATTCCCTTTGCATTACCCACCATGCCATTACCCTTATATGATGGAGTTGGAGACAAAATGCCTGGTTCTCCACCAGAACCCCATCTCATAGCTCATATTTACCTGAATTGTGTCCAACTTAGCTTGTCTGTTACAAATCTGAACTGGGCTGATTCGATATGTATTGCACCTGATCTGACATGGTCCTAATTGGTCTGATTGCTTTGGAATTTGGGATTTCTCTGAAGCATTTGCAAAATCCTAGTCTAAATAACAGTAATTTCATCTACAATAAAGCAGTAGGCAATCTATAAATACTAGGAATGAGAGGATCGTGAATGTTGAGCTAGCTAGCTAGTTATCTATTTATAAAGTGGCTTCAAATTATAGTTGTTGTTTTTTTCCATTTGTTTGAGTTGTTCAGTTCCCTCTCTGATACCCTAGATTTTTTCAAAGTCCATTTGGGGGGAGGAGAGAATAAAATGGTTGATGCCTTTGAAAACCCAGCTGGGTAAGACATATCATTCAAGGACAAATTTCTTATTCCATATTACCCTGAAGGACCAAAAGGGAATAATGTTACTTGCATTACTAGACTTCAGTGGTGGCTGACTGTATTATTAAACTATTCCAATATAGTTTTCAGAGACCACAAGAGAGAAAGAGTGAATTCACACCAATATCCCAGCTGCAATGCTGACATCTTGGCTGGTGCTGGAACATTGCAATGCAAAATCACCTTCCCCACTAGAGACTATGAAAAGCAAAGGGGGAAAATTTGTGTGCCAAAAACAGAAAACCCATCTATGTCTTTCTGTAGCCTAATCATCTCTGAGACATCACTTGATGGCAGGAGAGCAAAGCTGGGGTTTGTCAGTTGCTCACTCTGACAGTCCATGTCCTGCTGCCCTACCGATGAGAATTAGCTTTGGAATTTTGTCCCTGCTCTCGTCCATTCCTGTCTTGTTGCATTCACAGGCTGCATGCTTGGAACAAATTAAATGCCAACAAAACTGTCTTGCTCTCCCTTGGCATGCCATCAGTGAGTGAGACATGCTCACTCCATCCTTCTTTCTCTCAATTTCCAGCTCTCATTTCCACTTATTTTTCTCAGTTTCTTCACCTTGCTTCTCCTCCTGCCTTTTCTGACTGTGACATCCCTCCTCTGCAGGAATGTGTGAAACCCATTTCTTTATTTCCGTGTGTGCATTTGCGTGTGTGTATTTCTGCTTCCCTAACATTTGCATGTTTTGGATATTTATCTGGAAAGAAAAAGCAGATAGGCATTTTTTATTTATTTTTTATTTATTTATTTTGAAAACTGATCCAAATAATTGTTGGATATTATGACCTGCAATTACACATCATGTTCCCTCTTCAAAAACCAAGAGAGAAGTACAAGCCTGAATCACTATTGCATACTGCAGTTGTCTTAATTATGCATCACAGTTTCCATTCAAAGACATAAACACTAGTAATCACATGTGTATCACATGTGCAATTAAACTATTACTTTGTTTTTCTTTGTTTTTCTTTTTCTCCCCCCCCCTCCCCAGTTCTGCTTTGAGAAACTCATCGCAACAGCAAATTGTCCCTTTTCACATCAAAATTAAAAGACCCTTTTTATTACTGTGGTCCCTATTTTTCTATCTTGTTTTTCAACTTTCCTTCCCCTATAACAGTTCTATTTCGTTTCCTCTCCCTCGCTTCTTTTCAGGCCTGTTTAAGCTCATTTCTTCCTTTCTTTTCAGCATTAACACACATCATGCAGACAGAGAAAGTGCTCTTGACTTACAATTCCCTACTGTAAGCTCCACTCCACTGAGATCCTCTGAAGAGATGGATATTAAACAGATCTTTGCATATATTTTCTTTGTTATTAACAGATCATTACAGGTTTCTGTTAGTAGCAGAAGCCATGTACTCTACAACAATTGGGGATCAGTTGCTTTGGCCTTGAAAGCTAACCAAGCAAACTTAACTTAAACAGTAGGCGAGTATCACAGAAGAAGGATAGGAAGAATCGATGGGGAAAGAGAGTTGATGTTAGAGCTTGGGAATAATGTATTTGTTATTGTTATTTGCCATCAAGATGAATTCGACTCATGACAACCCTATGAATGGAGACCTCCAAGACCCTCAGTCCTCCACTGTCCTGCTCAGGTCTTAACAAAATCAGGGTTGTGCCTTATTTGTTTGAATTAATCCACCTGTAGTGAATCTTCCTCTTTTCCTATTGCCTTCCACTTTAGCAAGTATTATTTTTCTGATGAGTCAGTGCATTATGAGGAACAATGTTCCATGTAACATGTTACTTTTCAGGGAAATGGAGGGGAGTGTTGTTGTTATTGTTACATGTATAACATTGATGCTAGCATATTATTCTTGTATCGACAAAAATCCACCAAAAAGTGATACATTTATTGGAACAACCAAAATGCATAGTATACATGTTGAAAGCTTTCAATGCTTCACTGGCTTTTTCATCATGCAAGGTGTTACAAACATGAACAAAAATGAAGATGTCATTCATAGGTCTGCATTTTGATGTTTCTCTTCTTTTGAGATGGTATGGATGGGCAAATCTTGCAGGCTGGTACCCCCTCCTTCTGGCCATGTGGTAATTGGGAGATTCTCAAAGTCCATGAAATTTAACATCCATTTGCAACACAAAAAAGATATTTCCTTTGAAATCCAGCATTTGTGTTGTTACTGGAATTGCTATATGGCCAATACAGCTATCCCTGGATATTATTTTTAGGATTGATTAGTACCACTTATTCATTATTTCCAAAATTTAGTTAAAGGGTTGTTTTGAAGAAGTTAGCCATTTTTGTATGTTTATTTTAAACATGAGAGGTTTAAAAAAAGTATAAATGTGACACTTAATAATGTATTCCTGACACATTAGTTTTTAAAAAAAAACATTTTCATTTTTCTCTTTAAAAAAATAGAAAAATGGACAAAATGTCATAGTCAGTACTATCATTAAAATCGTTAGCATAGAAACACTAATATGATATCCTTATACATAATGAGTAAAGCTCTGAGATGTTTTATGTTGCATTTCAGGTACTCAATGCTCATTCAGTAGATTGGATCACTTTTCAGAAATGAAGGAGGATTATATTGCTGCTGCTGTTGTTTGTTGTTGAGTTTAGGACAGCAT